GGTATTCTTGCAACATTGCTGGCTATGGAGATCTTTCGCCGTCCATAGAGCATCACATCAGCTATCATCTTACTTCTGTAACCTTTTATTCCCCATTTTTGTTTTCTTTTCCAATTTGGTACCGAACCAAAGTGCCCTAACTATTTAGGTTCTTCCTTCGTCCAACATCGTACGAAATCAATAATTCCTAACATCAAGAATTTTGTTTCACTCTCGCATGATATAACCTCCGGTATGTATATTCTGTCCGCCTTGATCTTCTCATGCATAAAAATTGTAACATTGCTAGCGTCCTCTTTCCATTTTGAAGAACTGTTTGTCCTTTCCACAATATGCATCAATAAGATGAAAGTCATCATTATAAAAGTGAACAAACCAAAAAAGTTCCCTTTGATTGCGCTATCAATCTACCCTTTTCGAGCTGTGACAGCCCAAAAGAAATTGATTTTTAGATTTCCTCTCTTGAGATTTCAACCTTCAAGAATTCTTGACACTGGTTTCACCCATTGAATAACTAAATGTTGTGTATTTAAGAAAGAGAGAGAGAGAGAGAGAGAGAGAGAGAGAGAGAGAGTTGAAATGATGAGAGTTTGAATTGGGGGTGAGGAGCATAGGTTTGGCCATTGGGGTATTTATTTTGTTATTTTTGCATTGTCAAATTGCTTCCCATTTTCCTTTTGTTGTGAATGGGTGGGAAGATTTGATTTCCTCATTTTGGTTCGATGAAATTAATGCGCAGGAAATCTATTATACCTTCGTGCGCCTCACACCATAGAGTAAGCTCTGCTCTATCTCTATTTTGAACTTTCAGTCTTTTTATGCTCACCCACCGATTCCCTTCTCCACGATTTTGATTTAATGAAGAAAAGGGTGCTTGAGACAAATGAGGTTGCTAGAGAAAGAATTGCAAAGCCCTTTTGCCTACTGGATTTTCACCCAACAGTTAGTGTATTTGTTCTCTGATGAGTGCACTTTGCATTGATGACCGTGAATACGTATTATATCGTAGAATGTTCAAGAATGTTTGAGTTGTGAGTCTGAAAGATTGTTTACTTCTTCTCCCCATTGATGTTATTCCTGATTGTCAAAATGAGTTGTATGGCTGATTCGTGCATTACTAAGAGAAAGGAACATATCATAAGAAATTTTCTGTTACCTTCCATGCTTGGGCTTTAATGGAATCTTTTTCCAAATTATCACTTGTTAGTATCAAATATTCACATAGTCTCTCTCTCTCTCTCTCTAAAATTTCACTAGTATCTAATTTTTGAAATTCATCAGTGTAAGGAGTTTTTCTTTCATATTACCTGCATTTACACACACACACACCTGACTTTTCCTGTATTCATCTCCTCTTCTTCATCTCATCCTCCTATTGCGATAATTTCTGGTCACCATGAAATTATTCCGTTTCACGTTTGATCGCCACACATCTGATTTTCCTCATTCATATGTAATTAAAACTAGTACGTAGCATGTGCGATGCACGGGACAATAATTATAAATTGCTTGTATTAAAGAAATAAAATATTGATTAGTATAAAAATAGTTTTGACTATTAATATTATTTTTTTTCTTTTATCTTATGATATATAATAATTTAATATATGATTTATATGTTTATTTCACTTGTTATAAAATAGTTGTCATTTTAGAGTTCATGTTTTTAATTAAAGATAATAAAATTTTAACATATTTAAACATTGTCAATAAATATTGCTCACATATTATCTCTCTCTCTCTCCCTCTCTCTCCCTCCTTACTCATACCTTATTACAATATATTATGTCGATTTCTAAATAAGTTTTGCTAAAGTTGAAAAAGATTTCTAAATAATTTTTGTAATGTTCTGTGTCAAATATTATAACCAACACCTTAATTGAAAAAATTTGCAATATATACTGTTTTGAAGTTAAAAAATTATTACTTTTAATGACGTCAATATTATTTTAATATTTCTTATAACTTATAATAATGCACAATATAAATAGTTTAAATTTTATCTATAATCTATTAATTTATATGAAATTTTTAATGATATTGTGAATCACAATATGAATTTATAAAAAACTGGTTCGGTGTAGTTATTGATAAAATCAAATAATATTTTTGAAATCCTTGAATATATAATTATTAGTGTATGTCTCGTTATGAATTGATCACAGTGATTTGTTATTTATGTTGACATATCAATTTTTATTCTAGTACCGTGATAGTTATATCAATAAGATTTTTACAATTGATTTCTAAATTTATTTTGTACTTATATTTTGCAATGTTCTCGCGCATATTTCGGTCTACATATGGTTGGATGTAGAACAAATCAGGAGAACCTATGATTTGTTATTAAGGATAAAAATTGGTTTGTTATTAAACATAAATAGTTCAATTTTATTTTGATATTGTGGAAAATTGCGTTTACAACGTTTAAAAAAACTGAATCGGTTAAGTTATTGATAAATCAAGGATTTTAAAATAATCATCTTGATTAAATGATTTTTTGAATATACAATAAAAAATATTTTAGTATATGGTTGGTTACCAAATGAATAAGAAATCACCGTGATTTGTAATTAATGTTGATAAATAAGATCTAGTGTGATAAATATCATAATAAAATTTCGATAACCTATTTTCAATTTTTATTTTATAATTATATTTGCAGTTTATCGAGTATATTCTAATAATATTTTCTAAAAAAACTATTTAATAGATGATTTTTGAAGACATGTTATATGGTTGATTACCAAAAGAATAAGAAATTCCAGTGATTTGTAACTAATATGTAGAATATGTTTTTTATTGTGATAATTGACACAAAATAATTTTCAAAATTAATACTTCTTTATTTATATCGAAAGTTAATTTGTTAACCGAATTGCACGATTTACAAAAGGTATGGTATCATTTGATTTTCATTTTCTTACTTACAAATATTAAAGTATTTTTTACTATATTTCCTTTAATAGTTAAGTCAACCTATTTAATTACACAGTCAAAGTTACTATTTTAGATTATCACATCAACCTCTTTCAATAAATATCGATACTGCATCAATTGTTGAGTTCCTTATTGCTGCAATAAGATTTTTGTAACTTAGTTAAGACCTTTTTTTGCACCTAATGTTGTTTATCTGGTCAGGTTGATGAAAACGAACCTTACTGGTGTGCAAATACGCAAGAGGAAGAATCAGCATGGTCACATAACTCTGCTCACGTAATATCACAGCTAGCTCAGTGCTTTAGTGAGTAGAAAACATGTGCTTTCTTTTTTCTCTTGAATTGTCTTTGTTGCATACTTCTC